GTGGGCAAAACTCATGTTGCCTTCAATCTCACAAGGTCTATCTAATTTTTTGCTCTCACTGAGCAGACGACACTGCAGACAACTTGCTGGGCTGCTGACTGGTCAATTCACGTGGCACAAACACCTGACTGTGATAGGCGTAAATGACAAGTCCATTTACCCATATTGCTTTGAAGAAGATGACACGGTGGAACACTTTTTGTGCTTCATGCTTGCTTGGTTATTTGTCATCGGTTTTTTTAAACTCGTTCTTTTCTCTATAGTCAGTTTCTGAATTAAAAGTTTGGCGTAAAAAGCGTAGCCGTTTTGATGTTTTAAGTTTTGTGTTTTAAAAATGTGATAAATATTTTTCGCCTCACTTTAAACCTCGGAGCGATAAAAATAAAAATGATGCCATTAATACAAATAAACTATTTGACATATACTCCACGTGCCAAGTCATGAGTGAGCCGAACATTTGATGAGTATATGCCCGCCCGCAAATGCACCCGCGATGCAAATTTACATTGTTAGATCTAATTTTCACATTTCATTTTTTTACGAGCTTTGCGAATATTTAGAAATGTATCAGCAGGGGGTCCACCGAAACCAGTAAATTTTTGAAAGGGGTCTACGAGAAAAAAAATGCTTGGGAACCTCTGACCTAAACTAACCATGTATGCATGTACACCGGAGCTGGGTAATTTTTGACTACGATTACATTTCAATTACGATTGCTTAATTATAATCCTTAAATTATATTAGATTTAATTGTAATAATATATGTTACCATTATGATTATAATAATTGTAATCTTAAAAATTTAAGGACTGAGATTACTGTAATCGTAATCATGTAATAAATGAATATGAATACCGTAGCTGTAATACTAAAAATTTTAAGATTACAACTACAGTAATTGTAATCATAGAAATTACGATTACGAATACTTTAATTATAATCATTAAAATATTATGAATGTTGATTGCGATGTTCTGATATTCTGTAGAGGTTTAGTAGTTAAGTAAGTGAGCGGAACTTTATTCTACTTTACCGAAAAGGATGTATAAGTTATTTAAAGTTGAAGTAATACAGTTGCACAGCGGCCGCTGCGGTGTAGTGGGTAGCAGTGCGCGCTACCATTCAAGCCCAGTTCAACCCAACTTCAAAAAATAAAAAACAAAAAACGTTTTTTTTTTCTAATAGCGGTCGCAACATCAATGCGGACAGTTAATCAAAGTCAAACTTTATTGGATATACTATATACTGCGACCACGTGTTGCGTTGGACGGGGCAAGGCAAGCAATGTCTGGGGCCTTGCGACGTCTACTACAGCTGCCATGTAAAGGAGCACAAATTCGGAGTTGGATTTGTGGTGGGAGAGAGACTCCGTCGCCGAGTACTGTCGTTCACCACGGTGGACGAGCGTCTAGCCACAATCAGCATCAAAGCGAGATTCTTCAACATCTCGCTCATCTGCGCCCATGCCCCGACGGAAGAGAAGGATGAGGCATCCAAGGATCTCTTCTATGAGCGCTTGGAGCGCACATACGAGCGCTGCCCCCGTCATGATATCAAAATCGTGCTTGGCGACTTCAATGCCAGGGTGGGCAAGGAAGGGATCTTTGGAACCACCGTCGGAAAATTCAACCGCCACGACGAAACGTCCGACAACGGATTGAGGCTGATCGACTTCGCCGGGGCCCGAAACATGGTAGTATGCAGTACTAGGCTCAAGCATAAAAAGATCCATCAAGCTACGTGGCTGTCTCCGGATCGAAAAACGAGAAACCAAATCGATCATGTTGTGATAGACGAAAGGCACGCCTCCAGTGTTTTAGACGTACGCACACTCCGAGGCCCAAACATCGACTCGGACCACTATCTTGTTGCAGCCAAGATACGAACCCCGCCTCTGTGCAGCAAAAAATGTGCGCCCAAATATGCCAGGAAAGCTTAACGTCGAAAAGCTGCAATCACTACAGACAGCCAGCGCTTTCGCTACTCGACTCTCACACCTGCTCTCAGAGAGCACTCTTCAACAAACCGACATATGCGAGCAATGGAACCACATTTCCCGCTCATTAAGTACCGCCGCCTAAGAAGTAGTCGGATTTCAGCGAGCCCAAAAGAACAACTGGTACGATGAGGAGTGTCAGGAAGCTGCAGAGAAAAAAGATGCCTCCTACAGGGCCAGGCTGCGATCGGGCGCAACGCGCGCTATGTGGGACCGCTATAGGGATCTGAAGGGGGAAGCGAGACGTATTTTCCGCAATAAGAAGAGGGAGGCCGAAATACGTGAGTGCGAAGAGCCTGAAATGCTGGCCGACAGAAATAATGCCCGAAAATTTTACCAGAGAGTTAGGCGACGTACGAAAGGTTTAAAGACCGGGGCGTACTCCTGTAACAACAATAATGGCAAATCGAATCGACGTCCCTCCGCCTGACTATGTCGAGGTACGTATAGCAATAACGCGGCTGAAAAACAACAAAGCTGATGCAGCTGACAGCCTGCCAGCTGAGCTATTCAAGTACGCGGCGAGGAGTTGATAAGGTGCATGCATCAACTCTTGTGCAGAATATGGTCAGATGAACGCATGCAGAATATGGTCAGATGAACGGTGACCCTGCCATTCGCGCCAACTACCGCGGGATCAGCCTTCTAAGCATAGGTTACAAGGTCTTATCGAGTCTATTGTGTGAAAGACTTAAGCCCACCGTCAATGAACTGATTGGGCCTTATCAGTGTGGCTTTAGACCTGGAAAATCCACCATAGACCAGGTATTCACAATACGCCAAATCTTGGAAAAGACCCGCGAGAAAAGGATCGACACTCACCAGCTATTTGTCGACTTTAAAGCCGCTTTTGACAGCACTAAAAGGAGTTGCCTATACGCCGCTATGTCTGAGTTTGGCATCCCCTCAGAACTCATACGGCTATGTAAAATGATGTTGAGCAATACCACCAGCTCAATCAGAATTGGGAAAGACCTCTCCGAGCCGTTCACCACAAAACGGGGTTTCAGACAGGGCGACTCCCTTTCATGTGACTACTTTAATCTGATCTTGGAGAAGATAATAAGAGCTGCGGAGCTGAACCGCTCAGGAACAATTTACTACAAGAGCGTGCAATTGCTGGCTTATGCCGATGACATCGACATCATCGGTAACAAAAACCGCGAAGTCTGTTCTGCCTTTTCCAAGTTGGATAGGGAAGCAAAGCGAATGGGTCTGGTGGTAAACGAGGACAAGACGAAGTATCTCGTGTCATCAAACAAACAGTCAGCACATTAGCGCCTTGGCTACCACGTCACTGTTGACAGTTACAATTTCGAGAAAGTAGAGAATTTCGTTCACTTGGGAACCAGCATTAACACCGATAATAATTTCAGCATTTAAATCCAACGCAGAATCACTCTTGCCAACAAGTGCTACTTTGGAATGAGTAGGCAATTCAGGAGTAAAGTCCTCTCTCGACATACGTCACTCATCATGCCCGTGCTGGTATATGGCGCAGAAGCATGCACAATGACAACATCCGATGAGGCGGCTCTTGGAGTGTTTGAGAGAAAGATTTTGCGGAAGATTTACGGGCCTTTACGCGTTGGCGACGGCGAGTACCGCAGACGATGGAACGATGAGCTGTATGAGCTTTACAACGATATGGATGGACACCGACGCTCCAGCTCTGAAAGTATTCAACTCGGAACCCACTGGTGGTAGCAGAGGAAGAGGGAGGCCCCCACTGCGATGGAAAGATCAGGTGGAGAAGGACTTGGCTTCACGTGGCGTTTCCAATTGGCGTCAGTTGGCACAGAGGAGAAACGACTGGCGTGCTTTGGTGAACTCGGCCAAAATCGCTTAGACGATTACAGCGCCAAAGAAGAAGAAGAAGAATCATAAAAAGTACGATTACGTCGTTAAATTTTAAGGATTACAATTAAAGTATTCGCCATCAAGCACGTTGTGATAACAATTACATTATTGCTGAAAATTTTCGGGAATACAATTACAGTAATCGTTATCCTAAGTAGTCAAAATGTAATCGTAATCATAGTGCCCACCTCTGATGTATAGCACATAAATTCTATTGCATGCGCCCCACGTTTTTTATTTCAAGTCCTACAAATAGTTTATAATGACTTTTGCCAAAATTTTAAAATCATAACTTATCGAGACCAATTCTGTTTGTCCAGAGAAAATTATTTCCTACTCTCTAGTCCATTCATAGAAGCGTGGTATATTAAAATTTCTTTTTATTTGATCTTTTTCTAGTGCATTTGAAAATATTCTAGCTTTTCTTGTCGCAATTCGTTCATGGTTATCTTTCGGAATAGGTCTTCACTTGCTGCAACATACGAGGAGTCAGCAAATTATGGTATTTTTTTTAAGCGTTTAAAGAGGTCGGCTTCATGGCTTTGAGTAGAGCAAAACTCATAAAAGAAATCAGCTTAAAATTTAATTTCCATTCCAAGATGAAGAAAAAATACTTAAAAGGCTGAGTGTTTGCTCGCCTTTTTCTTATATTGAACTTCCGCCTTCTGCTCACACTTTTTTCGTAGACATCGAACGAGAGCTCCTCGAATGGTTATTTTCAGAGTACCAATCGATCCAATTCAGACAAAAGAGTAAGGGCACAGGGAGCATTTAATTTGGCAAAAAATGCACTGAACTAAAATAATTCAATTTTATATTAAACCGTTTTTAGTATCTCTGCAGTAATTTTCTCTAAGAATTTTTAAACGTGTTCAGTGGCTCTTTTAATATCCTTCACATAATTGACGATAAAGTCTTTAAATAAAACTGATTGATGTGTTCTATCTCACATAATCGCGATATGGTTAAGTTAAAAAAAAAAAAAAACAATCGCAAAATAAACTAAGTGTGCTGTTATTTACTAAATTTCCTCTTGCACAAAATTGATAACCCAGTTCCGTAGCGAACGACAACGCTTGATTCGTATTACGTACAAATACTGCTGCTTAACGCCTATAAATAGATATCGTTATACTTAACTCACCGTTACTCGCTTCGTGCTGTATGAAAGTAGTTATTCCATAAAACAGCAAAGGACCACACATCTTTTCAGGAGTTCCGTATCCCGTATGCTATGTTTCTCTACTCCATCTTAATTGTTCTACGTAGTATTGTTGTTGTTATTGATATTTGTTTTGTTTCTAGTATAGTCGTTGTATTTAATTTGTCATTTAATTAACAATGCCTACGATTTAAGGGTTATTTTTATTTGTTTACATTCGATGATTTCAAGTTGTCATCAGGAACTTGGAGGAAAATGTGATGCTTATCATGGTTTCAGCTGCTAAAAATGCTTATCTTTTTTAAAGCAGCTTTCGAGTCATGACGTTTTTTTTTTTTTGGTACCATCGATCCGTTGTGTGCAACACCGAATACAACCTAAAAATCAAAGAATATTCAATGTCGAAGAAAGATACTCTCTTTTGTCGTAGATGAATATGAAGTAAAAAATATTAACGTTCTTGAATATTTGGCTAAGGAAAATAAATTAGGCTAACGAATACATTTTGAATCGATTTATCAAGAATTGTCTTAAGAGTCCTTTTTTAGACTATTCGAGTTCCTATACAATGGTTTAAACAAAAAACATTAAATGACAAATGTCTAAAATTCCTTAATTAAATCCAACGAGATACATATGGACAAGATTTATAATTAATATTAACAAAACTTTGCATTTATGAATATTTAGAACGTAGGTTACAAATCTAGAGGTCGGCTCCAGAAAATACATCAATTTTCTTTAGACTAGTTCTTGACATCAGATGTGAAAGTTCTTTTTGTCCCTCACAAAGTCTGTCAATTATTGGAAAACAAGTTTTCCAAATTGGTTGCGATTATATATATACACATGAATTTCCCTTTGCTATCAAATATTATACATTTTGTTTTGTTGCACATTATACTAAGATTTCCATTTCGGACGCGAAAATAGCACATGTTTATACATATGTATACACTTTCACATAAACATATGTATGTATGTAAACGAGTGCAGGTGATACATAGACGACTACATCTGCATATGTTTTAGGTATGTAGAAGTATGTACATACATATATTCCACATATGAGCCCTATAAAAATTCTGCTAGCATAAATGTTTTTTTTTGTACCGGGACAACCACAATGTAATTTCTTATAAAACATTTATTTTTAATTGTAACACATTACAATAGTTTGTCACTAAAATAACTCAACAGAAGTATTAAACAAAAAAAACGGCAAAACAACGGTTTCGCAGACTTAATTGCAATTACATACACATTATCTATCCTGATAATATCACAAAATTCTGTTCAAAATTTTTATGCTTTAATACACGAACATAATGCACATAACTTATAATTCTGATTTAATTAATCCAAAAAAAGATTGGAAAAATAACATCGTTGCTTCACACTAATACTTTTTCAGGTGACGTTTTGCAACATGTCAAACTTTATTGGATTTTCTCGTGATTGGTATATGGTTTTTGTTTTCTTCGTTGTACCTGTTTATTTATTTTGATAATGTCTGCACATTATACAACACATAAAGAATGCAGAACCAGAAGAGAACAGGGAAGGCAACGGCGATGACAGCGACGGAAATGGCGGCGCTTTAAATATAGAAGCCAAAGAGGATAGTTTCTTTAGGCAAAAACGTCGCGCCGCCCACAATTCAATGTTGCAGACTGAATGCAAAAACGGCAAAAGGCTTACAACAGCCTGCTGCCGTTTTGAACACATACATACGAACATTATAATTACCCACCAAACAATTTGTGTTGCCAGCAATAAGAAAACGTGTCGCCCTCGGAAACAAATTTATTGCCGGTAATATTGCCATCGAATCGATTTCCTATTACCGGTCGCTCTAAAACGTCCGCCGAAGGCAACTCGCCTCGGCGAGTCGTTTTCTTATTACCTGAATGAGTCCTTTTCTTATCGCTTCAGGCGATTTTTGGAATAATTTTATTCTTTTTAATACTTCATTTATTTTTTTGTACCAAATTGCAACTTACAATCGGAATTAATTCATTTTCTCGCTGTGCGACTTCCTATTTTTTCAATCTTGTCCTTGGGCATTATTTAGATGCTTTTGGCCAATACTATTGACGCCATATTCATAAGTTTCGGAATTTTTGAGAACTTTTTTATTCAAAATTGACATGAACGAAGTGATGTTGCCGATTTGTCACCACAGCAATAAATCGGTGAGTCGCCAATTTGTTGCCATTGACGATTGTTGCCTATTTCTCATCCCACCAAACAATTTGTGTTGTCGGCAATAAGAAAACGTGTCGCCCTCGGAAACAAATTTATTGCCGGTAATATTGCCATCGAATCGATTTCCTATTACCGGTCGCTCTAAAACGTCCGCCGAAGGCAACTCGCCTGGGCGAGCCGTTTTCTTATTACCTGAATGAGTCCTTTTCTTATCGCTTCAGGCGATATTTGGAATAATTTCATTCTTTTTATACCCGAGCGCACTTGTGCACAAGGGTATTATAACTTTGTTCACATAACGGTTGTTTGTAACAGGCAAAACGAATCGAGATAGATATAGACAAATGTATACATAAATGATCAGGATGAAAAGAGAAATCGATTAAGCGGTGACTGTCTGTCTGTCCGTCCGTCCGTCCGTCTGTCCGTCCGTCTGTGCACACGATAACTCGAGTAAAAATTAAGATATCTTAACGAAACTTGGCACGTGTACTTCTTTCGGGCGTAGGACGGATGGTATTGAAAATGGGCAAAATCGGCCAATAACCACGCCTACCTCCCATATAACGGTAAATTTAGAAATACGAAAACTGCGATATTTTAGTAACTACTGAAGATTATTCACTTAAAATTGATATTTGCAATAACTTTTAGACGAAAAATAAGAATATTATAAATTTTTGAAAAATGGGCGTAGCCACGCCCACTTAGTGTTACATGTGTATATCTTGGCTACCGCTGCACCGATTTCTTCCAAACTTGGCACAGTTATTGGCCTTGGTACAGGATACCAAATGGCCGAAAATTTAAAAAATGGGACAATAACCACGCCCACATCCTTTATAACGGTAATTTGGAGAAATACGAAATCTTCGATAAATCCGTAAATATTGAAGCTAATTTATTCAAAATTGATGCTTGCAACAATTCTTTATCAGGAAATGCGCTTATCATAAAATTTTGGAAAATGGGCGTGGAACCGCCCACTTATGATCACATATATGTATCTCGGTAACCGTTCTACCAATTTGTACTAAACTCGGTATGGTTATTGTGCTTGCCACATAAAAGCAAAACGTTCAAAATTATTGAAATCGGACTAAAATTACGGCTTTTCATATAACGGTAAATTTTAGAAATGCTCGAAACGTCAATATTTCGAAATTTAAGGACGCTAATTTATTCAAAATTGATACACCCCGGCTTACCATGTAGCTGTAGCTTTCGGAAAGGTGAAAAGGCATATATGTAATACTTGCGCCGGGTATTTAATGTTCGGCTCCGCCCGAACTTAGACTTTCTTACTTGTTAATACTTCATTTATTTTTTTGTAAACCAAATGCAACTTACAATCGGAATTAATTCATAATCTAGCTGTGAGGCTTCCTATTTTTTCAATCTTGTCCTTGGGCATAATTTAGATGCTTTTGGCCAATACTATTGACGCCATATTCATAAGTTTCGGAGTTTTTGACAACTTTTTTGTTCAAAATTGACATGTCACCATAGCGATAAATCGGCGAGTCGCCAATTTGTTGCCATTGACGATTGTTGCCTATTTCTAATGTTTTGCATGGTGGGATGTTTTGCATGGTGGGTAAATACACATATATGTATGTATATGTATATGTACATACATATATGAGACCGTATCAGTAAAGCTGATGCCACATAAAACTTGGTGGCTTTGCGTGACATTTAAAACTTTTCAGCAAAGCGCCAGACGCAAAAGGTAGACCACAATGAACGTCAAGAAAACGTTCTGCTTTTTACTCGTCAAAATTGCTGTGGATTTTATGTATTTAGCTTTAAAAATATCAGCAATGTAATTAAATTTTAAGTTTCTGCATGGAGACTCGAATCTGGACGAAACAAAATAAATATTAAACCGGCAGATTGTCAATGCGCGCAAAAAGATGGGAGTTGGACATCTTATCGCTTCGCGCTGCAGCAGCAACGCAATTTCACACAATTCATCTTATCCGTCAAAGCGAATCTGTCACGCAAAGCGAAGCAAGCGTTTTATGTGACATCAGCTTAATAAATGTAAATGTAATAGGACGATGTAAAGAAGTATAAGTTCGGGCGAAAACGAATTGTATATACCCGGCGCAGGCATCAACTATCGTCGTTCCAAGTTTCTTTAAACTACCCAAAAGTCTATAACAGATTTATTTATTTTTAAGAGATTGTTGTAATTATTAACTTGGAGTAAATTAACGTCCGCAGTTATTGAAATATCAGAGTTTTCGTATATCCGAAAATTACCGTTATACTGGAAGCTGGGCGATTTTAGTCCGATTTGAATAACTTTCAACGAAGCAATTCGTACCAAGGTCATTAAATGCACCGAGTTTGGTAGAAATTGATTAATCGGATATCGAGATACACATTTTTGGTCATAAGTGGGAGGAGCCACGCCCAAAATCCAAAAATTTATAATAATCTAATTTTCAATTAAATTTCAGTGGTCATTGAAATAATCGATTTTTAGTCAATTAGCGTCAGTAGTTACTGATTCATCGCAGTTTTCGTGTTTTTGTAAATTACCGTTATATGGGAGGTGGGCGTAACTATTTCCCGATTTCAAAGATTTAGAAGCGGCTACTAAGATACAGTATTTCATCATAAGTGGGCGGGGTCACGCCCCTTTTCCAAAAATTGCATAATAATATTATTTTGCACCAAAATTCTACTTCACTTACTAATTTTCAACAATTTGGATCAAATATTTACTGAAATATCATAGTTTTTGCATTTTTCGAAAATACCGTTATATGAGAGAGGGGGCGTGGTTACAGTCCGATTGCACCCATTTTCAATAGCAACCTACTTGGATAAAGGGCAACCTATATACCAAATTTCGTTGAGATATCTCAATTTTTTGCTCGAGCTATCGTGTACACCGGCAGACGGACGGACAGGCAGACATGGCTTAATCGACTTCTCTTTTCATTCTGATCATTTATGTATACATTTGTCTATATCTATCTCGATTCTTTTAGTTATAATACCCTGTGCCCAAGTGCGCTCGGGTATAAAAAGGTACGGCAAAAGAAAAATTATAACAAATTTTCACGGAGTTGCCTCGCAAAAATAATTTAAAGGGAGTTTCCACGACGCTCAAATTGTTCAATTATAACGTTAAATTTCAATTTGATATTGTAGCTGGTTACACGACCATCAATATCAGTTTCAACTTCGATGACAGGTTGTTTATTTGTTTTTTGTTGCTTTGTTGATATTGTTTTGTTTTTAGTTGTTTTTTATTGAAGTTGTTTTTTTTTCTGCTTTTTTGCTCATTAACAGGACCGAAGAAATACTTTCAGGGTTGTAATCTTGGAGTTGAAGCAATTTAGTCTCAATTTCACTGAGATTCATACACATTTTAAGCTGAAATAGAGAATAGTGTTGAAATTACGCAACTTGGGCAGCATGAAAACTCCGTATGAAGCTGAAATTAGTCAAGAACGTAAACCTACCGGTACGTAACCCCAAGTCAGCTGACACGATCTGTCTTACCAAAGTGCCATGTAAATGAAAACTCAACACCGCAGAATTTTTCTATAGTTGTAGCCCGTAGCGCAGAAATCAGTGGAATTTAGATTTTTCCGTGTCAGCTGATTTCTTCCTTCTTTAGATGATTGCCACTTCGTCAGTTTTGCAGAAGGTAAAAAGATATTCAAAATATGTTTAAAATATTTAAAATTTACTATTGAATAAGTTTTTTTGTTGAAAACTACACTGAGGGAAAAAAATATTAAAATCAAATAGAAACGTAATCGATCTTACTATAAACGTCAACCAAAGTACTGTATATTGGTAAATATTCAATTCAATTACGCGCATTCTAAAAATACCGCGTTTGTTCTGAAAAAGCATCCGTGAAGTGAATAATCAAGACAAAAACTAAAAAAAAACAATATTTAACTTGTATGTTGCCACACCCAGGCATATAATTTTGCATTCAAATGTTGAATATCCATCAACACCACAGCACGCGATTTGTACGGTTAAACATGTACTATCTATGGATGTGTGTGTTGTCACCGCTCTCAGAGCGGCGCTCTGCATGCTTGGGGTGCGTATGTACACTCATATATATACTCATATGTGAACAGTCAATTACATGCGTAATAAATTTTGTATGAAAATATTATTTTTAAATTCGAAAATTTTTAAACGATAATCAAATATAAAGTATTCATTTTTGCTATGCATTATTTCCCTAAGTGTAAGTAGTTTATATTTAGCTACAATCTATTATAGCACGAAAAATTGTAGTTGAAAAGGTAAGTTTTTGAAAAGGCATAGATGAGTGGCAACACTGTAGTAAGCAACACTGAGGGCTCCAGTAATCGACAAAATTCTGCGTATACAGACTGCGTTCTTGACTAACTTCAGCTTTAGACTCAGGGTGTACGGCGAACTCTTTTTTTGGTTGCTTAGAAGCAA